CTAGCCAACCTTATTTAAAAAAGGAAAGAAAAAGCTCAAATTCATGCAATAAGAAATGAAAAAGGAGAAATCACTACAGACCCAATAGAAATACAGAGGATCATCAACACCTACTTCGAAAACCTCTACTCTCAAAAGTTTGATAACACAGAAGAAATAGACAGATTCTTAGGAGCATATGAAGTACCAAAGCTAGATCAAGAGAATATAAAACTGTTGAATAACCCAATCTCTGCTAATGAAATTGAGAATGTAATTGGGTCCTTGCCCACCAAGAAGAGCCCAGGCCCAGATGGATTCACTGCAGAATTCTACAAGAAATATAAAGAAGACCTAATGCCGACACTCCTCAAACTATTCAATGAAATTGAAAGGGAAGCAATCCTTCCTAAGTCATTCCTGGAAGCAAATATTACTCTAGTACCAAAACCTGAGAAAGACCCAACTATAAAAGAGAACTATAGACCGATCTCCCTAATGAACACAGATGCAAAAATCCTCAATAAAATATTGGCAAATAGGATCCAGCAAATCATCAAGAAGATTATACACCATGACCAGGTGGGATTCATCCCAGGAATGCAAGGATGGTTCAACATACGCAAATCAATAAATGTAATCCACCATATCAATAAAGCCAAAAATAAGAATCACATGATCATCTCTATAGATGCAGAAAAAGCCTTCGATAAGGTCCAACACTTATTCATGATAAGAACTTTACAGAAAATTGGAATAAATGGTCTTTACCTCAATATAATAAAGGCCATTTATGACAAACCAACAGCCAGCATCATACTAAATGGCCAAAAATTGAAAGCCTTTACTTTAAAATCGGGTACAAGACAAGGATGTCCTTTATCACCACTCCTATTTAATATAGTACTGGAAGTACTAGCCAGAGCAATTAGGCAAGAAAGAGAAATAAAAGGGGTAAAGATAGGAAAAGAAGAAGTTAAATTATCATTGTTTGCAGATGACATGATACTCTACATAGAAGACCCCCTAAACTCCATTGAAATACTCTTAGATACAATAAATAAATTCAGTAATGTGGCTGGATACAAAATCAATACTCAGAAATCAATAGCATTCCTATACACGAACAACAAAATTACAGAGAGGGAAATAAGAGAAACTGGACTATTCACATTAGCAAGCAAAAAAATGAAATATTTAGGAATTACTCTTACGAAAGAAGTGAAAGACTTATACAGTGAAAATTATAATACACTGAAAAAGGAAATTGAAGATGATCTCAGAAAATGGAAAGACATCCCTTGCTCATGGATAGGAAGAACAAACATTGTGAAAATGGCCATTCTCCCAAAACTGTTATACAGATTCAATGCAATCCCAATAGAAATACCATCAACATACCTTATAGATCTAGAGAAATCACTCCTAAATTTCATCTGGAACCAGAAGAGACCTAGAATCGCAAAGGCAATTCTAAGCAGCAAAGACAAAGCAGGAGGCATCACAATCCCTGACTTGAAGTTATACTACAAAGCAACAGTAGTAAAATCAACATGGTATTGGAATCAAAACAGAGCTGAAGATCAGTGGAATAGATTAGAAGATACAACCACAACTACGAACACACTCAACCACCTTATTTTTGATAAAGGAGCCAAGCAGGTTCACTGGAAGAACGACAGTCTCTTTAATAAATGGTGCTGGAAAAACTGGCTCTCCATTTGCCGAAAACTAAAGCTAGACCCATGTCTATCACCATGTACTAAATTAAAATCTAAATGGGTCAAAGATCTGAATATTAAAACAGAAACACTAAATCTATTGGAAGACAAAATAGGTAGAAACCTTGGAGACATAGGAGTAGGTAAAGAATTCATGAACAGGACTCAAACCGCACGGGAAATACTTCCCAGAATCAATAACTGGGACCACTTCTTATTAAAAAGTTTCTGCATGTCAAAAGAAATCTCCAGCATAGTGAAAAGAAAACCCACAAACTGGGAAAAGATTTTAGTGAACTCTCTCTCAGACAAGGGCCTCTTGTCTAAAACATACAAAGAATTAAAGAAACTCAGACCTCCGAAATTCAAAGATCCAATCCAAAAATGGGCATCTGAGATGAATATGCAATTCTCAGATGAAGAAATGCAAATGGCAAATAAATACATGAAAAAATGCTCATCATCATTGGTCATTAGAGAAATGCAAATTAAAACCACACTGAGATACCATCTCACTCCTGAAAGAATGGCCAGGATCAAGAAAACCGACAACAAATGCTGGAGAGGCTGTGGGGAAAAAGGAACTCTCCTGCACTGCTGGTGGGAGTGTAGACTGGTACAGCCTTTGTGGAGATCTGTCTGGAGATTTCTCAAAAAGTTGGGACTGGAAATCCCATTTATTCCAGCTATTCCACTTCTAGGCATATTCCCAGAAGAACTGAAAGCATCATACCACAGTGATATATGTGCACCTATGTTTATAGCAGCACAATTTGTAATTGCCAGATCTTGGAAACAACCCAAGTGCCCATCAACTGAGGAATGGATAAAAAAGTTGTGGTATTTCTATACAATGGAGTATTATTCAGCTATAAAGAAGGATCACATTGAGATATTTATCAATAAATGGGCACAGCTTGAGACCATACTCATAAGTGAAATAAATCAATCTCGCATGTGTGAATACCGAATAGTTTCCCTAATGTAAGTAATGATTCAAATATATAAAAATATGTGGTAATCATGATTCCCCATTAGGTGGCCTTGAAGCCTTATAAAGTTTTCACTCATTAATTAGAAAGGCTTTATTCTGGGCTTCTTGATATGAAAATATTTGAAGCTAGAGTATATGAAGTTTTACCCAAATATTTCAAGGAAAAAGACACTATGGTAACTACTATTAAGTCAGGTTATAAGGTGGTGAAGTACTAGGTTATTGAAACAGTCATGCTGTGACCTCTATTGTTATATTGTTATGTCCTGTTTTATCTCAATCTCCCCCTTATTGTTTCAAAAAAAATTATTTAGTCATTTCTTATGTTTGTCTTAATTAAAGAAAAAATTCAAAAAAATTAGGATATATAAATAGTAACTCTTTTCGATTTCCTATTAACTTGTTTTGAAGTCCTGTAGTACTCCCACGATCTTGTTTTGACTGATTAGACTCTGTTCCATTCTATATGATAGTATCAAGTTTGAAGACATAGGCAACTACTTTGAAGACAATAAGATTCACTAAGATACCCATTCTGGTTTGACTATTGTCTTCTTTGGAAGTCCTGTAATGTTTACAATGCCTAAGTTTTATTGGTCTTGTTCTCTACTGTTTTGTCCAACTTTATAATATCTAATAAGATAGACAATTCTTTTTAAGGAAACAAGGGACAACGTTGATAACCATTGTTGATAAACTTGTACTCTGTTCTACACCATGTGCTATGTCTATCCTTGATATTGACTGACAGCTTTGTTTTGCCATATTTGACTGTATTCTCCCCCCCCCCCAAAGAAAGTAATAAGCACTAAGGAGTAATAAAATCCAAGATGTGTAAATTTTGTTGTAAAAAAGAGAGGGAAAAAAAAAAAAGAAAAAGAGCTCTAACGGATATAACAGCAAGTGTGTTTGGGGGTGTTAAATAGCTGACTTTATCAATGTTTTTGGAACATTGAACACAGCTGTTTGCAGTCTCCCTGTTTGAATGTCCACCTTGTGTTCTTTGATACTGTGATTTGAGGAACTATTTTCAAGAAAATAGTGTGTAATCTACTAGCAGGTAATTTCTTACTGTTATGGTGTTTTGTTTTGTTTTGTTTTGTTTTGTAGTTCTGTATTGCGTGTACCCTTACGCCGCTTTGGTTTGTTTTGTGTTTTTCTCTTTTTCCTCTTAAATAAAAAAAAAAAAAAAGAAGTATGAAATATAAATGACCTTTATTTTGGGAATTCGGGGAGAGACACCCCCGACCCCCTGGGGCATGACATCTCCACCCCAGGGTTGGCAATCTCTCCATGGAACACGTGGAGTGAGGCACATAAGTAGCCTTGGTTTGGGGTGGAAACTAAGGGGGCATTAGGGATGCACAGGTAGCCCATTGGTCTTTGTTTGGTGCCATAGGTAAATTCCTAGGGGTGGGGGAGATAGAGCTCCTTGGCTTTACCGACTACAGTGTCCTGTCTGGGCCAAAACTGTTTCAACTTGCACAAAAGCAAATCCCTGAACAAACACCTCTCAAACTGTACAGATGGTGATTTACTTTGTCTTTAAACTGCCTTGCCAGGAAAGCGTTCTAATCTGTTGCTTCAGACAGGCAGAGGGAAGACTGGGATCCCCAGGGGTTCGCCTGCAGTGGGGTGAGTAGCAGCCTTGGGATTTGTGCCAGGTCTCCTCCTGCCAAAGCTCGGAACTCACCTGGAGCCCAGCAGTTTCCATGCCTTGTTCTGCAAAAGCCAGAGAATGCCAAGGTTTCTCAGGGCTCTTTGTGAACAGGGACAATCCATATGTGCAACCCGGGGGGAGATTTTACCTGTGAACCCCAGACAGGGCCAAAATTCAGTAAAAGAAAGGCCTGGGGGACCTGAAGGCCAAGGAGGGGGGACCACCAGCTACCGGGCGAGGTCCAGCAGAAGTGCTCTGGGGGAGCTGCTTCTGCCTGCTCAGAGTCATCTGTGAGGAGGGGCAGAGCTCCGAGCTCTAGAAAAATAGAGCCTTGTATTTTAAAAGTACATCTGAGTTCACCTACAGATTAGTCCTTTGCACACACAAACACTAAAATATATAACAAAGTGACTGGGAAATATACAAGAATGGTATCCTGGGTCCCTCTTTTCATGACACACATCTGGGGGAATGTTTTCAAAGGTTTTCTGTAATTTTCTGAGACTTTTCATGTCAAAGGGCGACTCATACATGGAAAATAAGCTAAGGAGACAAACTGGTTTTGTTGCTGTGCGGGAAGGGTATTTCCATCGTTAGGTGGTTCCAGGGATTGGAGTAAGTCCCTGTTCCCAGAAACTGTCGCCTGGCCATTTCCAGTCTGAGGACAGAAGGCCGGCTGTCCTGGCCAGCTATTCCTGAGCAGGAGGTGGAGCCTGCAGGGATAAATAGGCGGTGACAGCTCCGGACAATCCAGAGCTCCAGGAGGAAAGCGCAGAACCACACTCTTCGTGCAGCTCTCCTGGCACAGTGGGTAACCCTGAGGGAGAGGGTGACAGGGAAGCTGGCAGCAGTGGCCGGGACCTAGGGGTCTGTGTGTGGCTCGGGAGCCCAGGGACAGCTCTGGGGCCTCTGTCTTCTCTGGATCTGTGTCCCCATTTCTACAACAGATGAAGGTCTCACAGGGGACACTTGTGGCTTCTGAATGAAGCCAGCTATTTGTGTGCGTGTGTCCTTGGGGGTGGCAGTGCCACGGCTTTGCTGGGCTATGGGCACCACAGTCAGGATGGGTGATGATGTGATTTCTGGTCACCTTGGGGACTCTGCTTCTCTATCAAGGTCCGCAGCCCAGCAGAGATACGGCTGTGTGTCTGTCCTGACCTCCCTCCTGCCCAAACTGACCAGATCTTTTTCACTAGAAATAATTTTGGGGGGAAACATTTTTCATGGTTTTCCAAAGAAATGCAGCACCAGCCTGAGGGTAAACAAGCAGCGGAGGCCTCCAAGCTCCCTGTCCTGAGCTGACAAAAGGTCCTTCCCCTTCCCTTCTGCGCAGTGTCCCCTCCCCACCTCCTGTCCACCCTCCAGCAGTCCCCTCTCCTCCCACCTGCAGGGACAGAGTGGGCAGCAGCTAGAGGTGAGTGACTCAGCAGGTTGCAGCCACAAGACTTTGGACTCTGACCCTCAGGCCCCTTGTCCTATGGCCCAGGGTATGGGAAGAGTGACCCTCCAGAGCCCCAGGAACCAGCCAGCCACCTTTGCCACTCTTTACGCAATAGCCCATAGCCTTGCTGTACAGAGAATGGAAACTGAGGCCTGGGGAAGTGGGGGTCCCATATCCAGACTCTGGAGACTCTGGCACCCACTCACCTGCTTGGCTTTGTCCTCACCAGGAGTCAGCCCACTCAGTGCTCTCCAGGCCACAGTCTGCTGTTTGTACCCCAAGCTTGTCAGGGGTACAGACTCTGTCAGTTAACCCTCAAGGCCCCAGAGGCTGAGAGGTGCTCAGTTCCCTGACCCAGGACGCCTAACCCAGCTTCCACCTTGGATACGCGGGGATCATGAAGAAAGAGGACCCCTGATCCCTAATCCCTCTACTTGGAGCCCTCTGCCAAGCAGGAGGGAGAAGGGCATTGTGATTGGACACGGCTTCTGCCCATGCTCAGCTCCTCGGCTTGCTTACTGTGTGGCTTCGGGCGAGCCTCTTCACCCTTCTAGGCCGTTTCCCACTGGGAAAAGCAGCAGCTGTTACAGTGCTTGCTGGCAAGGCTGAAGGGAAGCTCCGGGTATAACAATGCACACAGGCTCCCCAGGAGGGCGCATACCCATACCCATCGGAGGTCACAGAGCCAGCTAGTGGCACAGAGGAGGCAGCGGGAGGCTCTCGGGGCTTGGTCTGGCCCTGCCTGCTCAGATGATCTTTGCTTTTCAGAGTGGAGACGATGTCACCCCTCCTGGCTCTGGGGCTCTTGTTGGCCGGGTTCTGTCCTGCTGTCTTCTGCCACCCTGGTGGCCCAACAAAGGCCGCTGAGGACGGAGACAATGGGATGCACGTGGACAGCCTCAGCCTGGCTTCCAGAAACACTGACTTCGCCTTCAGCCTCTACAAGAAGCTGGCTTCAAAAACCCCAGACGAGAACATCATCTTCTCCCCCCTGAGCATCTCCACCGGGCTGGCCTTGGCGTCCCTGGGGGCCCGCAACACCACGCTGTTGGAGATCCTGCAAGGCCTCAAGTTCAACCTCACCGAGACCCCCGAGGAGGAAATCCACCGGGGCTTCCGCCACCTCCTGCGCACCCTGAGGCAGCCCAACAGCCAGCTGTACCTCAACGTGGGCAACGCCCTGTTCATCCAAGAGCAGCTGCAGCTGCTGCCCAAGTTCATGGAGGACGCCCGGGACCTGTATGCAGCCGAGACCTTCAGTGTCAAATTCCAGGACCCCCCAGCTGCCAAGCAGCTCATTAACGACTTCGTGAAGAAAGAGACCCAGGGGAAGATCCCAGAGCTGATAGAGAGCCTGGACCCGAGCACCATGCTGGTTCTGGCGAATTACGTCCTCTTTAAAGGTAATGGTGGATCAGGCTGGGTGTGGGGTCAGCGGGCAGTGGACTCTTCTCTGAGCCTTCAAAGCTGCTTGCATCGTGGCACTGTGAACTGGGTTATGGGAGGGGAGTGCCCACTGCCTGGGGCACATGAGTGCCAGTCCCTGCCCTGTCTATAGGGATCCTATCCTCACATGGGGTTTCCCCAAATTTAGGTGGGGTTCTGGGACACAAGGTCAGTGCACGCACTCCGCCTCTGTCTCAGAGCGGTGCTTTTTATTCTGGTGAAAGCTTGCCAGCCCACAAACCCCTCCGGTGGGTGGGAGCTACAGACTCCTTTTTGCCAAAATGCCGTGAGAATCAGGCCAGGACGCCCGTACACAGTGTGTGCCTAATGCCTGGAGCATTACTTCCCCTGCGCAAAATTACAAGCCCTGCGGCCTCCAGAGCTGGCTGCTGGAGGAGGCAGACAAGGGTGCTGCGGGTGGGTCTGCTGAGGCCTCTGTGCAGGACACCCACACCCCGGTGTGGGGGACTGGGCACCAAGCCCCGTGCTGATGTGCCTGGGCTGGACCCTGGAGGGGCCAGGGGTCCAAGAATCTCCCAACACTGGAGGACAGGTTGGTTCTTAGGTTGTAGGCAAAGATCCAAAAGAGCCATCAGAAGAGGACGGAGGAGGAGGACAGAAGGGCTCGGGAGGACAGGGCCAAAGACAGGGAGGACTGAGGATGCTACTGAACAGAGGGACCCTCTCTGCTGGCCCTGGGACACAAGCTACACACTGGGAGGTGCAGATACCTTTGGAGGCTGCTGGGCCCTGGTTCCCAGAAACTCACAATTACCCTCCCTCCGATGGGGGCTGGGCGCAGGGACCCCAGGATCCCAGAAAGGGTGGGCAAGAGTTGTGTCCACTTTCCACAGGGGTGAACACAGCCTGCATGGGAGCTGAGGACCCGTGGCCGGCCCCTCTTAGATCTCAGCTTTGGGCACCTCCAGCACCGCACCCTAAGACGTCACCGGTGCCCAGGCCTGATCCTGGGGCCACATGGGCCCGGGCTTGGCCTTCCACCAGGGCCACACTCACCCCCAGTAGCTCGTGCTGAAGGGCTGTCCCCTTTCCCCACTCTCACTGCAGGGAAGGGGCAGGTTCAGCTCTTTTATCCTGCTCCCACAGGCCGTTGCAAGGTAGCAGAAAAGTTGGAGGGTGAGGTTAGCATTCATGGCTCTAGGTGAGCATTCCCAAAGCTTGCTCTGCAGGGGTCCTCTCTAGGACCCAGGACCTCCCCATTTCTCCCCGTCCCCCAGCCTCTCCCCCGCCCCCACTTCCCCATTGAGCACCAGTGACCTGATCTTCATTTCTTGGCCCCTTTCCGTTCTGGGCCTGTGGCCTCTCCTTACCCCAGCAGCTTTTCCCTTCCCAAGGTTTTTTCCAAACCCCGACAAGGGCTCTGGGCAGCTGGGGTCCACTGCTCAGGAAGCCAGCAGAGCAGGGCCAGCAGGGCCTCCCCGGTGCTCACAGGGTTCTCTCCCCTTAGGCAAGTGGAAGTTGCCCTTTGACCCCAGCGACACCTATCCGGCAAGATTCTACCTGAACAAGAACAAGTGGGTGAAGGTGCCCATGATGAACCTGGAGAAGGAGCACATGGCCTACTACAGGGACCAGAACCTGTCCTGCACCGTGCTGGAGCTGGATTACAGGGGCAACGCCAGCGCGCTGCTCATCCTCCCTGACGAGGACAAGATGCCCTTGATGGAGGCTGCGCTGAGCCCGGAGTTGGTGAAGCAGTGGAGACAGTCCCTGCGGCCCAAGTGCGGGTTCCCTCCAGCCCCTGAGCCTGTGCCCGCACTTCAGGGCAGGGACAGAGGGAGGATGGGATCTCTTTGTTCTTGGAGGGCCTCTGGGCTTTGGTCTTGATGTCATCTTTAATAAGATGACCTGTCAGGTAGGACAGAGATCCAGGCGTCCTCTGAGCCTGACACATTCTAAGTCACAAGGTGTCTTCAACCCGGCCCCAGTACCCTGAATGGTTCCTCCTGCCTCAGCCTCTTGGAGGCAGAGGGAGACAGAAAGTGTGAGTGGCTGGGGTGGGTGAGCGGGGCTGCGGGGACCGGCTCTGCACTGGTGAGCTGTCACCTCGTCCATGCTTTGCATGTTCATTCATTCAGCGCTTGGCAGCAAAAGACCAGGGCAACAGTGACAAAGCACTAGGAGTATATACGAAAGGAGAGGAGGTGTCCATACCAGGGGGCTCCTCAGTATCCCCTTTGTCCCTCACTGGCTGGCCCCCTCCTAGCATTCAGCTGCCCCCTACTCAGAGGAGCTCTGGCTTCCCATCTCTGAGTTCTCCTGCCTGTCTCCTGCCCTCCCTTCCCGCAGCTGGCTCCTCCCTCCTCTGAGAATTGGCCTCAGCATGGCCTCCTCCAGGAAGTCCTCCTGGACTTCCACAGTGCAGGTTGCAGCGCCCCTGTGTAGTTTCTCATGTATGTAGGGTTCCCGGTCCTTGAAAGTATCTTCTGCTCAGCTCTGGGAAGGGCCGGACTAGGCTTGGGCAGGGCTGCATTCCCAGCTGGTACACTGCCTGGCACTGTAGACATCAGCAGATACCGACGGCAATTAATGAATTAAGGAGAGTAAACACACCTGGAATTCCAGTACTCCCAGGAGGCTGAGGCAGAAGGGTGGCAAGTTGGAGAGCAGCTTGGGCTGACTTTGTCTGAAAAATTTAAGGGCTGTGGGTACTGCCCAGTGGCAGAGTGCTTGCTGGGCATGGGAGCTCAGGGTTCAAACCCCAGATTCACAGTTAAAAAGAAGAGTAAACGCGGGTGAAGAAGAGGAGGGAGCAGGACATTCTCCCACCGCAGAGAAGAGTGGGCGTGGGAGACCCGGGAGGCGGGAGACATTCACACGGTTCTCCTGCCCTAGGTGGATAGACGAGCTCTACCTGCCCAAGTTCTCCATCTCGGGAGAATATGAGCTGGAAAGGACACTCCCCGAGCTGGGCATCAGGGAACTCTTCTCCTCGGGGGCCGACCTGTCCGGGATCACCGGGGCGCCAAACCTGAGAGTCTCCAAGGTAAGTGCCTCAGGCGCTCCATCCTCCCCACACCTGAGCTTGACTAGCAAGGTCGAGTGGATGGGTGCAAACGCCTGCATTGCTCAACACCCCGTGGCCCGCCTGTGGTGCCCCAGACCCAGCCCACTCCTGCCTTATGTGGGCTGGATCCTGACTCCCTGGCAATATCACGCCCTCTAGAGCCCGTGGCAAGGAATTGCTGGGTTTGGGTTCTGAGCCATGGACATTGCCAGGCACACCCTCGCTCAGCCTCGTCATCCGTAAAATGGGGGCCACTTATACCTGCCTGGCAGGGCAGGTGGCAGCAGTAGGTAATGGTGAGGCCTATGCAGTAACAAAAACATGCTAAGGGTGTGGAGAACGGGGCTTGGGACTCTCTGACTGCTTTCCAGAGGCACAAACAGAACAAAGTGGTGACCTGAGCCCTCCCGTGTCCTCGAGCGAGCCTGGAGCCCCTGCTTGGGTCTGCACCGTCTTCCAAGCACACAGGACTGGGAGTACATGAGCTGGAGGGGCCCAAGCAGCCAGGATACAAAGCTGTGGGTGGTGTAGTGAGGGGGGAGCAGGGGAAGCCCCCGGGGCACCAACCCCCACACACTGGGAGGCTGAGTGCCAGCCCAGCTGGGGAACTCAGCAATTATTGAGACCCTGCCTCAACATAAAAAATGCAAAGGGCTGGGGTGTAGCTCAGTGTGAAGGTGCTGAGAATTCTGTGTACTCACCACCTCCCCAACCCTCCTCAAAAAAAAGCACTCCAAAGAAGAGGGAGCCAGAGAGATGCTGGAATCCACTCAGGCCAGCAAGACGTGGCTGCCTCCCTCCGGGCTGCAGGCAGCTGCTTGGCTGGGCCTGGGGTGATGCCCTGTGCTGCCTTGGCCCCTCCTCCTGGCCTGGTGGCCAAGCAGACCACGCACTCAGAGGACCACGGCCAGGGCTCTTTACCTCTGTGACCCCAGGCCTCAGTCTGCACACCCGTGCGAGGGCCAGAGCAGAAGGAATCAACTGGGTTGCTGCGGGGACAGGTGCAGACGCAGAGGCTGCATGGCCCGTGAGTCCCTGGCTGCCCTCTTGCCCACCCCGTCTCCATGAGTCAAGTTCTGCTGTCCCCGCAGGTCATCCACAAGGCTACTCTGGATGTGGCTGAGAAGGGCACAGACGCAGCTGCCTCCACAGGAATGAAGGTTGTCTTGACATCTGGGTTGGTAGATCCAGTGATCCTGCAGTTCAATAGGCCCTTTGTGTTGATCATCCGTAATACGAACACCGAGAGCATCCTCTTCCTGGGCAAATTCGCCAACCCCCAGAAAACCTAGGGCTCCTGCTGATGTGATTAGGGGGCGGTCTGAGAGGAGCCGGGGATGGGGGTCTCTGCAGCTGAGCTCCATGTGCATCCTCAGGAGGGTGACAGTGACGGCCTGTTGCAGAGCCCAGCACTGTTCCACCTGAGGCCTCTGACAGCGCCGACCCCCCTTTCCTGGACACTTTCCCTGGCTTCGCTGCTGAGTGCCTGCCTCCTCATATCTGCCTCCCGGGATCCCGTGAGCTTTGGCCAAGCCCTCTGAGGCTTCAGGCCCAGGATCTGGGGGGGACCCTGCTCCCTGAGAGCACTTTCCAAAGCCACCTTCAATCTTTCCCTTGCTGGAGAACAGGTTCTGTCTGCCTCCTGCTGCCTCCGCAGGGGCCCTGGCCGTGTCTACCTCAGTTGGGGTCCTGGGCCCCTAGGGCCAGCTGGAGGGAGGTGTAGGCAGGACACAGCTGGGCGTGGATGGCTGTGCATTTACCACGCGCTGTGTACTTGCAGAAGCTGGCAGGCTCTAGTCAAGCTGTAACACGCACTTGTTACAACCGCCTCTGAACTCCTGGCCTTTGTCTCAGCCCAAAGATGGGCCTGGGGCACTCTCATCAGCAAAACAGTTGTTTTCAGAAACCAGCTCACCCCTCTGAGAATGAGGACAGAGGTCCCCAGCCCTTGGGAATTTCAGGCACCTGCCCGCTGCCTCCTTGGTGAGTCCCATTGCTTGGTGGCTGTTCCCTGCAGCTGCAACTTCAGAAATAAACGTTCACTTTGAAGCACCTTCCTGTCTGACTTCCTCTGTCTTTTGGGGCAGGACATGTGTTCCCCATCCTCTGCCGGGGCCTTCTCTCTGAGGCAAGCTCACCTCTTCCCCATTCTCCTGCAGAGCGAAAATGCAGGGGTGGGCGAGGGCGAGACCCCTCAAAGGCCACCTGCCTGATGCTACAGGCCCCTAGTGTCTACAGCTGAGTGTGACTGTTGGTGCGATCCCCAGTTCTGCCCCAGCACCCCAAACAGGGGGACAGTGGTTAGTTTCCGGGTTCCGGACTGATTCCCCTGAACTGCCTCTCCAGGCCTCTCTTCCTTCCTGACTGATGATTGCTACAGCAACAGAATGTGGGGCTGGGAACAGACACACGACAATACAGGAGCTCTGATGTGAGCAGGGGTCCTTCCCTCTGCTGTCCCCGGTAGGTACACAGCCTGCAGAGAAGATGGGGACAATGGCAATTGTCACTCAGCCTCAGGGCAGTGAGGCTGTGTGCGCCAGCTGATCTGCAGAGATTGCACCCTGAGTTAAACCTTTTAGTCTCTGTGAGGATCCAGGGCCTAGACCAGTGGGGGTGAACCTGTGGCATGCATACCGCAGCCGGCTGTCGGTTACCATTGAATGCTCTAAAGGGTTTGCCATCACTGGCCTAGATGCTGTTCTTAGTCCTGTTTAATAGATGAGGAAGCTGAGGCACTGAGGCCAGGTTAACTTCCCCAAAGACACACAGCTCATCACTGTCAGCAGGATGTTATCCCAACCAGCTGGAAGCCATCAGATCACTCTTAACCTCAAGGGACGCTCTATCAAAAAATTTCCCCGGCACCAGCCCCCATAGGACTTACAGTTGGGGTGGCCAAACCGGGACCAAGACTTTGGAAGCTCTGAGCAGGCATCGAACTCAATCTGGGGGTCAGGAAGGCTTCCGTGGGGGAGGTGATTTATAGTTGAGATTGGAGAACTAGCTAGATGTAGGTGGATGATCAGAAAGCAGATGTTACAGGCAGAGAAAGAGCAATGTGAGCAAAAAGAGGAGCATCCTGATATGGACCAGTCAGAACCGCGGCTGGGACTGGTAACTGGCAAGGTATTTGTGGCTGAGACATGGGAGCAGAAAGCCCACTGCAAAGAGTTTCCCAAGGAAGGAGCAGTGAAATGGGAGGCGGCAATGGCAGACCTTTGCTTCCAGAAATTTGACATCAAGAGAGCTGAGAGGCGGAGGAGCTAGCGGAGGCACACAGGGAGACGTTCTTGTTTTATGGGAGTCAATTTTGCTTCATGAGGTTGACTATAAATTGCTGGGAAACTCACAAGTGTCTTAAAGGAATTATGTCAGCTTAAAATATGAAAATAACAGAATATAAAAAAACAGAGATATCTATACGCTAAAATTTTTCCTTTTTTTGGTCTTGGGAATCAAATTCAGGTCCTTGAGCTTGCCAGACAGGCACCCCGTGCTGTTGAATATACCCCTGGCCCCTGTTCCCTGAAATTTCTACAGGTGGAAAACATCTGTCCCAAGTGGCAGGCTGTGACAAGCTCTCAGAGGCAAACATAGGCCACGTGTTAAAGCAAGAATGCATAATTTAGGGGGCAAAAGTGTGACTGAGGGGGCGGAAGTGGGCAGATCCAGAGCCACGAGGGATTTTCTATGGCTCACAGACTGTGTATCATGTCCCAGTGAGCGTCAGAATTTCCCGGGACTGTGACTGTTGGGTGCTCGTGTTTCACTATCTTTGAACAGTAGAGTCTACAGCAGTCTTCCTTGTTACATGCTGGCCGTAGGAGCAGATCTCGGCATCCCGCTCAGGCTGAGGGTAATGGCATCCAGGAACCCACACCTAAAGAGTCCAGAAGCAGCCAGGCGTGGTGGCTACGCCTGTAATCCCAGCACTTGGGAGGCTGAGGTGGGAGGATCGTTTCGAGTTCGAGTCCAGGCTAAGCTACAAAGTGAGCTCAAGGCCAGCCTGAACTGCATAGTGAGACCCCATCTCAAAAAAAGACAAAAAAAAAAAAGAGTCCAGAGGGCACCCTGGGCTGGAAGGAAACTGAGATTTGGGCTGCTGAGCTGCCGTCTCAGTACGATGAAACCTGAGGTCTAGAGGAAGAGACACGAGCATTCATTCGAGGGATGGACAGCAGCCTGCAGAAGACTGTGTTTTTCCAGTGACCACTGTCGCTGTGTCCTCATCCCACGCACTCTGCTCACCATATGACCTCCAGCAGAGATACCATGGACCTACTCAGCCTTGCACCTGGAGTGGACCTTTGGACTCTCCCAGAGCATTATGTAAACAGTGCTATCTGCCCTCCAGGATCAGATGATATGAGGTGACCCAGATATTGCTTGGCTCCTTTCCTCAATAAACTTGGGAGCTGCCACGTGGCATGAAGAAGCGCTGATGTCACCATGCAGGGCGAGGGGGGACCCACACAGAGACGGAAAGGTCACAGGCACCGAGCTGCACCTGATGTCTGCACCATCCAGGGTGAGCCCAGAGGCCCAGAATCTGAAATGATGTAGCAGCCACTAAGCTGCTGGGCCCAAATAACAAGGATAAGTGTATTTTAAAACAAAACCCAGGGACCGGGGATTTAGCTCATTGGCCAGGGATTTAGCTCAGCAACATAAGCACCTGCCTGGTGAGTGCAAGGTTGTGAGTTCAATCCCTGGTACAAAAAAATAAATAAGTAAAATAAAATACAGGAAACATGGGAAAATCTGGATAAAACTACAAGGAAATCTCAATAAAAGTACAATGATCATGATATAAATATTATGATATACATGAATATGTATATGAAAATGATATATATTTCAGAAAGTGACATTAAAAAGTCAAAAATAGACAAATCTGTAAATTAATAATACATGAATAAACTGGATTTAATGTGTATTTTTTATTTCTGTCCAATAGCAAAATACATCTTATATTCACAGTAAATTTTAAAAATTAGTCATGAACTCAAAAAGAAAGCCTTAATAAAGTTTTATAGATCGTACCTATGTATTATTGTATGGTCTATAAAGTCTTTATAGATCATACACAGGCATTAGTAATTTTTTATGAATGCATTATTAAAAGATCACTAACAAATTATAAAATGTTTGGGAATTGTAAGCATCTTCCTCCCATCCATGCTGTAATAACGGTGGTGGAAAAGCTGTCCTGAAACAACTAGAAAACTGTTTGGTTCTAGACAGTATTTGATTCTCTGACGTGAGAGATAAAAGGTGAGAAAATGGAGAAAGAAAGAAAAGAGGCCTTTACTGTGGGCACAGGAGAGCTGCCAAACAGGCACAAGCGCCCTCTGAGGGAGGCGAAGGAAACCAGGAGCTTTTATTTGGTGTCGGCAGGGGGTGGAGTTGAAGAGGTGGGCGGAGCGCCATACTGACAGCTGATTGGGGGAGCACTGGAGCCTGTGGGAGGAGCTTGAGGTTCCACTTTGGGGTTTGCAAGGAGGAGGAGGAAGCCTGTGCTGATGGAGGCGCTCTCCAGCAGCATGTTAACACAGAGGAACACACATGGGAAAAACCAGTCAGACAAGTGTATGAAACAATGATGAGACACAGTTATAAATAGGTCCTGGTGGGTGGATGTCCTCTCCCGGAGAAGAGAGACAAATAAGGTAGTCACGACTTGAACCACACTGACTCCCTGGTGGAAGCTTCTAGACCTGAGTTCAGGAACAGGAAAATGAAAGAAAGCCAGACAGTCCTTGTAAGTTGCAAAGACAGACCCAGATGCAGGAGCCCAAGGCGGCTAGGATTTGTGAATCAAAATAGCAAAACACAGATGCTGGCATAGACAGTGCGCTGGAGATCTGCAGAGGTAGCTCAGCTGTGATCTGTGCATGCAGGAGGGAAATCTGCTAGCATCAAGGGCGGAACCACGAACAGTAGCGCGGCTGGGAGTGATTCATAGTTACAGTCCTCAGGATGGAGAGATGAGGAAAGAGCCATCAAAATTAAAGGTAAGGCCAAATTAGTGTAGAACCAAAGGCCATTCTAAATCTTAAAAGCAAGACAGAAAACATTCTGACATTATTTAGAGGAATAGAACAAAATACAGCACACAACAATGTAAAATTTATAAAACAAAGCCAGGGACTTAGCTCAGTGGTGTAAGCACCTGCCTGCCAAGCACTAGGTTGTGAGCTCAATCCCCTGTACTAAAAAAAAAAAAAAAAAAAAAAGTAAAAAGCAAAATTTGTAAAATAACAAGCAAACATCAATCAGGAACTGTCTTATAGTCCCACCACTTAGGAGGCAAAGGCAGAGCCAGGAGCTTTGCCACCAGTTCAAGGCCAGCCTGGGCAGCATAGTTAAAGGACAGCCTGAACTGCAAATGACACTCCATCTCAAAAAACAACCAAAACAAAACAAAATCAGGCACTATGAGCTACAATCATGAGGAAAAACCAGACAATATAAACAGCCAAAAATGGTATAGAAGAAAAAGACTGATGGGTAAGTATTTTAAAATAATCACCATAAATGTGACCAACATGTTTAAAAAGTATGGGGGAAGTCTCATTGTTAGGCTTGATACATTGTGTCAATTTGAGAAGCTGAGAAGTTTAACCCAGAGACTCAGCAGGGAGCCAGGGTCCTTAGGAGGTAAACAGCTGCCTGCTGTGCAAGAGGAGGGCACGATTTTGTGAGTGCTACACCTGCCCTGAGGGTGGGGTGGGGCTGGCCTGTGTATAATATAAAAAGGAGAAAGAGAGGCTTGCTTTTGCCCCTTTTGGCTCTGCCTGCTGCCTTGAAGTGTTGCCCCAGGGCCATGCCACCCTGCCTTGCAGCCTGCTGATTATGGACTGAAATCTCCACAAACAGTGAGCTAAATCAACATTTCTTTCCTTCATTTTGGGTGTTGGGTGTTTTGTCCCAGCAGTGACAGAAAAGTAACCAAGATACCCATCGTGAAGAGAGATTTGGAAAATAAATCCAAGGGCAATTTCTAAAGATAAAAATTACAAATCTAAAAAAAAAAAACTTTAATACAC